AACTTAAAGAGGCAACTTTAAATTATGGAGCACAGGCTCCCTTTACACTTTCCTTAATGGAATCTTTTGCATCTCTTAATTTGACACCTGGCGATTGGCAGCAGCTTTGCAGAGCAGCTCTGTCGGGGGAGATTATTTGATTTGGAGAGGTGAGTTTCAGGAAAGATGCAGCCAGACAGCCCAAAGAAATGCACAGGCCGGACAGCCCCAGAGAAATGTGGAGATGCTTACCGGGAGTGGTCAATATGCCACCATTCAGCAACAAATGCAATATGACATCGCAGTCTATGCCCAAGTGGCAGCAGCGGCCCAAGGGGCTTGGAAAGCATTGCCTTCCAAGGAAGGAGGGGATCATCTGTCCAAAGTCCTTCAAGGACCCTCTGAACCTTTTCAAGACTTCGTAGACCGTCTCAGTCAGGTAGCAGAAAGAATATTTGGGGGCATTGGGCCTGCGATGCCGGTCATCAAGCAGATGGCATTTGAAAATGCAAATAAGTATTGTAAGGAAGCCCTTCGCCCATATCGCAATAAAAGTCTAAATGACTATATCCGGATTTGTAGGGACATTGATGGGAACTTCATCCAGGGCCAAGTGTTAGCTGCTGCCATTCGGCCCCAAGTGGGGAAAGAAAGACCTACTCTGGGAGGGAGAAAAACATGTTTCAGCTGCAGTAGGGAGGGACACTTCCGTAGAGAGTGCCCTCAAAATAGTACTGCGGGTCTCAAGCGACCTGGTTTATGCTCCCGTTGCCAAAGGGGATATCATTGGGCCAAAGACTGCTACTCTAAAACTGACCGGGAGGGAAATTTCCTTCCTGCTAATAATAATCAGGGAAACGGGAGGAGGGCCCCGCCCCAGGGCCCCAAAACCAATGTGTACGGGGCAATGACCCCTGCTCTGGGCAGTGGCAGGATTCATTTTCTCCCCCAGAGCAACCCCTTCATATCTCAGACCTCCTTAGAGCCACCTCGGGGAGTGCAGGATTGGACCTCTGCCCGGGCAATCCTAACACCGGAAATGGGGATCCAGGCCCTTCCTACTGGGGTGCATGGGCCATTGCCCCCAGGCACGGTCGGACTACTCTTGGGACGGTCCAGTACTATTCTTCGAGGCATCCAGGTACACCCTGGTGTTATAGACCAGGATAGTGAGGGGGAGATTAAAATAATGACATCAGTGGGCAATGGGGTTGTCTCCATCCCAGCAGGAGAGCGGATTGCTCAGTTACTCCTCCTCCCTACAACTCCTTGCAAGGCTCCAAAAAATTAAAAGAAAAACTAAGAGATTTAAAAGACTGGCCAACAAGTAAGGCTATAAGTATGTATTAAAAAGGGGGTACCAAGCTAGGGGTACCAGATTAAATGTTTAGGACCTTGCCTGACAAAGGTCAGGAAAAAAAGGGAACCTAAGAGATCACCCTCAGTTGAAGGGTGGATTGGATTAAATGTATAGGCCCTCACCTATTAAAGGTCAGAAAAGAAAGGGAACCTAAGATGAAAAGTTGCCCTCAGTTGGAGGGTGGATTGGAGGGTCATCCTCAATGGAAAGATAGATTAAAGATGGGTAAATTAAATAAACTGGTAACAGTTAATAAATGAGGTATTAGTATTCAGTAAAGAAAAAGACAAAGGTATATAAAATAAAAATGTTTGGTTACATTTATATAGGGTAGGTTATTGAATTTTGTGAGTCATCTCTAAAAACTTTTGGCAAAAGCCTGGCCTTTCCACTTTGCATCTACAGAATTACAAGGAGTGGGTATGGCTGTAGCCCCTGAGTGTAGCTCAAAACTTCTCTAATGAAGAAATGACGAGGGACATACAGGACTTTTTCAACCTTTAGTTTTAATTAAAAGATTGACTGGAGTTGTTCTGTTAAAGAAGTTTCAGTTCAACAAACTAATCATAACCTAGGCAAGGAGAGATATGTATGCATGGTCTGTGTGTATGGACGTGGCCAAGTCAGTATGTATGAAGTGTGAAATGTAAATGCGTGAATGTTGACAAAAGCAACTGTTCTAATTGCCTTGGATATGATTAAAGGGATACTTAAATCCCTTCAAACAGTTAAAAACTACCTAAATCGATTTAGATATAGCCAAAAGAAACATCCAGTCAGTCGGTTAATATTTTAACAAAAAAATTCAAGTTAAGCCCTCAGAGCCAGTCAGAGAGAAAAAGAGAGAAAGAGAGGTTTTTTTCAGGGAACTGTCCTGCCGCTTTGGCAGGCCCCCACCCCCAAAGGTGTCTGTGTAGATGCAAATTAGGCCTTGTCAGTTCAGATGCAAACGAGGCCTTGTCAGCTAGTGAGAGCTACAGGTTAGAAAAAAAAAAAAGGACTATTTGGGACATAGTATAGTTTACAATCCTTAAATGATTCTCAAAGGTACTTAATGGTTATGTCCCTTTTAAAGGACATCTACTAATACTTTAAATAGTGATCCCAATTCACCTAGATAGTTGACTAAGGAGGGTAGACAAATCCTTCTACTGTTATGGTCCAAGTTCAACAGTTCAAACAAAATTTAAAAATAAGAGGGAGTAATGTCCCCAGTCTCCACATGATTCATTAAAATATCCACTCCTCATTTAAATATTTATAAAATATAAATGCCAGTGAGGAATCTGCTTCAGACAGATTCTGACATAATGAAAGTTAAATAACTATTACTCAGGCCAAATGGAAACATCCATACACTAGACAGTAGAGAAGACCCTAATTTGGGGTCGAGGGCATGTTTGTGTTTTCTTACAGGAAAAGAATAAAGCTTCAGTAGCGGTCACAACATCTGGTGAGATGCATGGAGCAGAAAAAACTGGACCTGAGACCGTGGGAGCCTGCTCAAGCCAGTTCGAGATCTCCTAAATCAGTGTTCCTGACCCTTGATGTCATCAAATCTACAGCCCGAGGAAGAAATAAAACAGTCAGTTCAGAGATTTCCAGTGTCTCATCAGGCTTGCTACATCAACCTCCTGGACCCGTGAGTTTTCATCCCAAAGCCAACAAAACTGGAAGATTAGCAGCTAGCCTTTGATATACCTTAAAACAACAGAATTCATTTTGCCAGCTTTTCCCTTTGGGGGAAAAAAGACCCATTTAAAACATTTGGACATTGGTATGGACTGTGATGAATGGCAAAAGCCTTTTTTCAGTATTTGAACAGGACATGGTCACTTGAAATATCAGACTCGGTAGTTCCCGTTTCTGGAATCACAGTGTGTTTTTCTGGAGAAATGTGGTTTGTCCTGGTGCGACAAAAAGACTTTGACTCGGGTTGCATGTTCGGCTAATACTACTGACATTAAATCGACAGACTACATCACCACAGGAACAAATTGGTACTCTGTAAATAGTGCAACAAGCCTCTTGTTCATATTTTTTATAATGCTACGTGTAACATCAATGATTGTACCTAATGTATCTGTGCAAGTGCACTCTCTAATGCTTTCCTAAGTAGATCTTAAAATGATTGTAAACTTTATCACTGTTTTGACCTTCAAATTGTAACTATAAATCACCCTTGTAGCAAAGAAAGGCTGGTGGTAGAATGCTAAGGCCCAGATCGGGGGGGATGGGCAGGTGACAGAGAGGCGCTATGTCAGTGGGGGTCCTAGGAATGGTAACAGTGGCAGTAGGCGTTCTGGCTTCATGCTGAGTTCAAAGTGCCTTAGCCCATGGCAATCCCGATAGCCATAAAGCCTTATTACAAATGATTTTAAAGTTGGGGTGCTCTTATGACGGGCAACTTGTGGGGAAGACCCACTCCCACCTAACAGGGGTTCAAGGTCCCCCAAAGACGGGCCAGGGATGGTGACCCTACTTGACCTAAGACAGGAGTGCCTCATTTAAAAATAAAAAGGGGTGAATTGTGGGGACACCAGACCTTGAGCAGAAACCCACTTCCCCTTCGGCCTGGGAGCAGGCATCTATGTAATGTTTACTGAAAACAATTCAGTGCTTTAAAGCTTGATAGGGCTCAGATAAGGGCTGGCTCACTGAAATACCATGCCTTTCACACCTCCTACGGCTAGATGCCTCTTCCTGTCCCTGCCCCCTGTGGTGTCTCCCCGATTCTGGGGCCGGAGATTAAACCACCAGCCAGGAGGGTGAGAAGTGGAAAGAATGGTATGTAAATGGATGGCAAAAGTCCTTAAAAAAGGGAAGCTCCTTTTTCTTGGAGAGACTTCTCCAGAGATTTCGCCAGAGACTTCTCCTGAGAGCTCTCCTAAGCGGACTGGGGTCTCCTCCTAAGCTGACTTGGGAAGCATAAAGTTTTCTTAAAGCAACCGACCGGTCTCTGTGTCATCTATCCCGACCACCTCGCTACATTCTCAGATGCAGGCCACACAGCAGGTGCGACAATCAATGATATAACTCAAAAGGTTTTGTGTAAGAGGGTCCTGTTCTAAGTGTTGGGAGACCTACTTCCATGATGGAAGGAAGGGGTTATAGCTGGTAGTAATGGATGGAAGCCTAGGACTGTCTCCACAGGTTATGGTTATGTGGCACCCGCCAGGAATCAGGTACTGCATTGTCTAAAGACTGGAGAACACCTCTGTCTACTGGTAGTGTCCCTACCCACGGGGAATAGCTCTGCCCACTGGTCACTCAGAGTGTGGAGGGGGAGGTAGGAGTGGACCCCACACCCAGTCTTGGGTGAGGGTGGGGTTCTTTCCCTGGTAGAGAAACGAAGTGGAAACAAAGCAGGCATCCTCATGGCTCCATAGCCCCCAGAGCTGTGATTCCTCTGACGGGGACAGATCTTGGACTTAACAGCAGATGGGGAACTCTGCCCTCTCCTCCCACCAATAACTCAGTTAGTGCTTATTGTCTCCCAGATACAAAAAGAAAGGACAACCACTCAAGCCTGTAGGAGCATCGGAGAAGGGGACAGCCAGATCAGGGGCTTAGGCTTGGGCTAGGGTAAGCATGTCTGATTCAAGGGGCAAAGAGGCAACCAATGGTAAGTGCTACAGAAAAGAGAGGACCCAGCTACAGCTGCAGGCACAGATTTCTGTTTCTAAATGCATGCAGGGAAATTTTAGAGAGAAAATATCTGCTGAGAGGATTCTGAGTGTAATGGAGCATGGTTACTCAGCTCTAGGTAACACGGAAGGAAGGACCTGCCCATGCATGTGTCCTAACTCTCTAGAGGCAGAATCAGACTGTATGCTCCCAGGACAGGGCAGGTCATACAGGCGAGGGAACGGCTCCAGTGTGTGCAAAACCACAAGGTGAACAGGCTGCAGTGCAGGGGACACAGTAAAGAGGGGTTCGAGCTGTGGCCAAGCAGAGGGCCCAGAGCCACAGGCAGAGCACAGGGCTACAGCCAGCTCCAGGTGCTACGGAGGGAAGACAGACAGTTCAGGGTGGCTGTTTTCCAATTTAAAAAAATCCGTAGAACTCAGACAGGGAATCTGATTGTGTATTGCCGTGACTAGCTCTGATTTCTTTCAAGCTGTTGCTCTGTCCACTCTGCAAATAAAGAAACATCCGGCCTGTGCCTCCCTCTGCTCCCACTAGCTATGTGGAGCTGTAGCTGCCTTTGCTATGGCCCACAGCATTCCCTCAGTCCTCTCTCCAGTGTGGGTGACTTTCACTTTGAAAAAATATAAGATATTACGGAACAGTCTTTTGCTTTGATTCTAAAATCCCACAGGGAAAGGAGGAAGAGGGAAGAGGGAAGAATGAACTTAGGATGCTGATGACTGTACCTCCCTCCACCATCACCCCGTCTGTCTGTGTATGCTACCAGCCTTGACCTTGTTTCCCTGCTGCACTGTGCTCTATTGGAGGAACAGTCTGGCTATCTTACACATTGTACTCTGTAGACATCTGGGCTATTCATGCTTATGTTTTGGAAATAGTCTGTTGTGCACACACTTGCATTTGTCTCTTGGGGCCAGATTACAGGAGCTCCTGGAGGGGATATGTTTGGGGTGCATGCATGGTTGAGGACTTAGAAAATGCCAGGGGATCACTCCACCAAGATTTCCCATTGTTGAGGGAGGCATGCACCTATCTGTACATCCCGGGGCACTTCTGTGTGCCTTTGGATTCCCATTCCTACCAGGAGTTCACTGGGACCTGCCAGGACACCCTGCTCAGACCCTCCAGGACTGGGCCCAGGCTCACTGCAGTCTTGGGCAAGGTCAGGGCGAGAAAAGTTCCCATTCTTCTGGAACAGCGCCCCAAGCTGTACAAAGTCTCCCCCGTGCCATCCTGAGTTCTGATCTTGTTGCTCTGTGGGTGCTTCCTGGTGATTCGTCTGTCCCTGGGGGGCACCTTGAAGGACACTGTGGGGTCTTCCGTGGACTGAGCCCTCAGGGTATCCAGGTCTGGGCTGGCACCTTCTCCAATTGCTGTTCTCTGCTATGCTGATTGCACCGGGGAAGTGTGCCGGCCCCATAGCAGACAATGAGACTTCTGAGCAGATCCACAAATGAGTGAGTCTCCACTGAATCGTAAAAGCGTAGCTTTGGAGCGCTGCTCAGGACTGCGTGCTTCCCTTTCTTTTAGCCTCGTTCCTTATTGAATACCCTTGCAGAAATGAACACAGTCATTTATTTTCATAGCCCAGGGGAGACAATGATTAGGTCTGCGGATGTACACACACTCGCACCATGCTCTTTATGACCCAGTAGGAACCTGACAAGGTCCTCATGTGGCAATCCTCCTGACCCAACAGGAACATAGCTCAGCCCCGCAGGCATTGTGTGGACAATTTCCCCTCATGACTCTATGGTTGATTGGACGCTTCTGCTACCAGCCTCAATGAGAGAATTCACATGGAAAATTCTGACTCAAAATTCCAAGTATGAGGCCTGATAAATGTGTGCCATTTTCACGGCATTCTAATGTCAGAGAAAGAGCTATGATGAACCACTGGGAGCCCTGCATGTATGAAGAATGATCCTCTCCTCTCCTAGTCATTCTATATTTAATTCTCATATTCATACACACTCAAAAGATAGGGCTGGAGGGTGGTTATCAAAAGTAGGATTCTTTTATTGATGTTATTTTGTATCCTTTCGTTGTTAACTTAAACGCTCCGGTGACTATACAGTGCACTTTTCTATCAGCTGCATACTATTCCACTGTGTGGGTAATTCACAATTTATTTCACTGTTTGCTAGGCATTGGTGGTCATGGAAGGCTGTTTTCCAAGCCTTTGCCACAAGGAATAGTGTTGCAATTTAGTGCATTATGTAGACTAGCTACCCCTTCAAGGGTTACTTTGTCCAAAGATACATGCACTTTGTATTTTAGTAGGTGTGGCTTGGTGGTCCCAGTAAGTCACCTGTCCTTTGTTGGTACTTTCTTTGCTCTCCTGTCCCGAGGCTGCCTTCCACCTAAGAACTGCCCCTGGCTAACTGCTTACCCCTGAGGCTCTCTTGCAGGGCAGTACTCTGTGTCTATGTGAAAACACACACGTGTGGCTGTGTGTCTGGAAGTGGGTGAGTGCAGTGACCGCTCTATTGCCCCAGCAGATGCAGCTGCAAACTGCAAATACGTTTTCCACTTGTTGCCCTTGGCCTCCACGGCTCTCAGCACCTCTTAGATGGGTACAGGGGCTGAGGTGCTCCACTGGCCTCTCTTATCTCCTCCACAGCCTACCTACCTCCACACTGCCAGCTAGCTGGCAGGGACAGAAGGCCTAGGGCCTCTGGCAGCCGGTCAGCTAGGCACAACATGTGCTAAGGCCCAGAGCCTGTTTGCTTAGTCCTCTGGGGTTAAGACACACATGCACACGTGAGATACACTCTCAGCTGCTCATACACATGTGCACACACGTGCACACAGCAGCTGTTGTCAGCATGACCTCCTTCCTTGGGTCACCTGGTGCTGTGGCTTGCTTCACCAGGTGGCCTGCCTTCAGCTCTGCAACATGCTTTATCTTTTGGAGTTAATGTATCCTAAATCCCAGGACTTGTGTTAGGTGCTCTAGGCCTCTTGACATCTTTCATACATTTTTTTCTTAAATTGAACCACTTAATATAAGTGTAAAAACAACATTTTAGCCTTCTTTAAAGCGGTCATATTTATGTAATCATAAGTTAGATATCCTGATTTAAAATTTATATTTTTTTGATTTTTGTTTTTTGAGAGAGGGTTTCTCTATATAGCTTTGGAGCCTGTCCTGGAACCAGGCTGGCCTCGGACTCACAGAGATCTGCCTGCCTCTGCCTCCCGAGTGCTGGGATTAAAGGCGTTCGCTACCACCAAAACAAGCAGGTGTGGTATCTTCCCTGTTAGTTAGTGGAGAGACGGTGCCCGAGTCCCAGATGGGAAATGTGTTTTCAGTTTCCAGTGTCAGGACAGGAGCCAGGGCTGCTTCTGTGGGAGCCTCGGGCTCCCTTCCCCTTGAGCAGCATGACCTGTGTAGGGAGCTCAAGCCCAGAACCTCTCCCTTTGTTGTAAAGAGGAAGGACTAGAAGTTTGGAGAAGAGAAGGAGAAAGGTGGGAGGGAAGGAACAGGGAGAGGAGGGAAGGGGAAGGGGCAGATGTTCAGACAGTTGGGCCTGGCCCTGGGCTTGGCATCCTAACCAATTTCTCTCACCAGTCCTCTGGCAGGTCACTAAATGAAACCAGCCTTAGCAACTGGGATGTCTCTAGGATGATGCTAATCAGTTCGGCTTAGGAGAGGCTCCTGTTTCCCCACAGAGGGAGGCAAGCTAGGCAGTAGGAAGCTGGAAGGTTCCTAGGAAACCAGGAAGCAGCCTGCCTTTGGCTGACACTGGATGAAGAAGCCCTTCCTGGCAGAGTTCATGGCTACAGGAGCTACTGACTCCTCAAGGTGGGTCCCAGAGACGAAGGTGAGTAGGGTGAAACCTTCGACTGGTCCTTTGAAGCCCTTAGGGACAGTGTGCTCCTTAGAGCCTCTGAACTTATGTCCTCATCTCTGGTGTCACACAAGGCTGTCAATGCCAGTTCACAGGGGAGGGAGAGCTACAGTGGCCCGGAAGTGTTGAGAGGAGAGAGAGAAGCAGAACCCAAGCCTGTTAAAGGTGGCCAGAAGAAACCTGTACTACTTTGGCAACCCAGAACCTTGAAGACACTCAAGTGCCCAAGACTGGCACCATTACTAACTGGAGATGGGACCTCAGGCCAGACGTCCTGGGTCTCAGGAACTCTTGGTGAAAAGGAATCTTCCTGGGCTACAGGAATACAGTCAGGTTAGGTACCCAGGAATTCCTCCCCAAGCATCAGGTATTTCTCACTGGCCAGCACCAGCTGTGGCATCGAGGTTTGCCCAATGGCAGATGGCACGTGTTGGGAAGCTCCACCCAGCCCCACTCCTCCCATTCCAGACTCAGATCCTGAGAAAGCCCACCATTGGCCGCTCCTACCCCCTGGGATGCTCCGGACCTTGCAGACAGGCTATTTGAGGCTTGGTCCCGACCTGCCTGTGGTTCTCCCTTGTGGTTTCTCCTCTTCCTCTGGGACCACCCAGGAATCCTTTGCTCAGATTAAATCCCAGACTTTAATTTGGCCTGATCTGATTTATCACATCGGTGGAGAGACTTAATATTGGGGTACAAAAACCTTTCAGCACAGGAGAGAACATGGACAAGAATTTAACTCATTAGATGAGTACTTCATGCCCAGATAAGGGGGCAGGGGAGGGGGGATAAAGGGTTTTACACTCCTGTCAGGAGACTTACTGCCCATATCCTAGAGCCAGACAACCTGTGCGGAACCCTGGTGTTCACTTGTTAACTGTGTCAGCAGATCTGTCATTTAGTCTCTCTCAACTAGAAGGAAAAATGCATGCACGGGGCAGGACGGGGGGGGGGGCAAAACCTCTACATCCTCTCAGTCTACCACCTCCCAGCACCTCTGTGGGCTTGGGCTCATTTATAGGCAAGATTGATTATACCTCCAAAGAATGGTAATTAGCTCAGTCTAGTTTCCCCAGAGGAAAGGAGGCCAGGCTAACCATTCCAACACAGTAGACATGCCTCGTTGGCCTTTCTGGTGATCGGCCTCGTTTTGAAGCTGTTAGGACAGCCCAAGCATCCAGCTTGTTCATCACCCCAAAGGCACCATTAGTAAGTAGACTGAGAGTGCTGGCCATGCCCTGGCGTTCTTAGAAGCCTCTATGCCAGAAAGCAATGGCTGCTCATATCTCACTGGCCACTCAGCGGTTGAAGAATTTGCAAGCCACCTGCCAGGAACTGGAGAGGGAGACCAAATGCATGCTTCTCTCCTACCACAGCTGCAGCCTGGTTCATGCTTGAAATGAAAAGTGCCGGGACTCACACTGTTCCCCATTCAACAGGGGGGTGGGGTCAAGTCCGACATCAACCTGCCCACACCTGGGTTGTGGTCCCTCTGTTACCTGCTTTTTGTTGAGGCTGCTGAGCAGTGGCAAGTTCAGTAGTTTGCCCAAAGTTGTTCTAAATTCAGGAGGCAGACCTCCGCATCTTCCCAGGATCTGTGATCTGCCCCGACTACTGACTCTGATAGTGCCCAAGACTGTTGGAACCCAGAGTCCCTGATGTGAACAGAAGGGAACCCTGAAGCCCATGCCATACTTGGCATTCTCTGAACAGCACTTGCTACAGCCCTAGCAGGCACAGTGCTGGGCTTTCAATGCCGCCCTTCAGGAGCCCAAAATCTAGTGTCAAGACACCACGGGGCAGAACAAACAGCAGTGAAGCCTGCTGTTCCTCAGTTTCCTCATTTGCAAAATTAGGGGTAACAGTACCCGATTTATTCATCCTATCGAGCTGCTGACAGGCTGAGGACAGCCCTTATATTTCCAGCTTCCACCTCTACAGAGTTAATCAATCACAGATTTAAAATAGAAAACATGGCCAGACTTTTCCTGGGCATCAGTTTCTAAAGCATGAGCTATAAAACCATTTATACACTGCATACACGTGTTAGGAATGAAAAGACCCACATAGAAGGATTTTGTCACCCAATGTGCAAATGCAGCCATTTTATACCCTGGGCTGTCGGCTATTTGGTGTTCCAGAAGTCAGTCCTCTGTGAGTACCAAGGGACTGACGCACATCCAAGCAGCTCCTATTAAGAATGCATCCCTGTTCGCTGGAACCTTCTGGTCCTCTCTGTCCCTGGGGTCCCGCCTAACTGTTTAGCTGACAGACTGGCTTCCTCCTCCTGCCCATCCCCTCAGCCGACCCGGTTCCCAATGGTCCTGTTTATTGCTGCTCTGCAAGTCAGACCTTCATGCTCCACCTCACTCACCCACTCAAGCCAACTGGAACCCAGCCTGGCGATGCCACACCTCAGCCCAGATCTGATTTAAACCGGTCATCTCTGGGCAGCAATCCAGCGTTCCCTGTGGATGACTCCGAGATCTCGCCTTGTGCTGTCAGAGTTTCCTCCTTCTTTGCTTTCTGTCATCTTTTTTATTATTATTGTTTCCATCAAATTCATGTATGCCCTGCTTAGTCAAGAAGTAGCAAATTAGGGGCTGTAGAGATGGCTCAGCAGTTAAGAGCACAGACCCCTCTTCCAGAGGACCTGGGTTCAATTCCCAAACCCACATTGTGGCTTACAGATGTCTGTAACTCCAGTTCCAGGGGGACCTGACACCCTCACATGAAGGCAAAACACCAATGCACACAAATTAAAATAAAATATATTTTAAAAATTTGAGGTTATAATTTAATTACATTTCTCCCTTCCCTTTCCTCCCATGCACCCTGTTCTCTTTCAAATTTGTTGCTTCTTAAAAAAAAGAAGTAGCAAGTTAAAATCTGTGGTATCCTCATCCTTGTGAGCCCTGAACACAGCTGCAGAGAGAGAGAGAGAGAGAGAGAGAGAGAGAGAGAGAGAGAGAGAGAGAGAGACTCATGATGATGGAGGTTGGGGAGTTTGGATTCTGCAGAAAGTCCCAGCAGCTGCAGACCCAGGACAGCTGACCACACAGAAGTCTATGCAATTCTTCCTGCTCAGGGACTGATCATTTGTTCTACTGGGCCTTCTGCAACTGTTAGAGTCTATGTAGCCTTTTTTGTCCTTGAACTTGCCATATAGACCAGGTTGGCAGAAACTTGCAAAAGATCTGCCTCCCAAGCGCTGGAATTAAAGGCACGCACTACCACACCTGGCACCTTCAACCGCTGCATTAGGCCTACCCACATTATGGAGGGCAAGCCGCTTTTCTCAATGTTTGTCCATTTAAATGTTAATCCCATCCTCTAAACGCCTCCCCAACTGACACATGACATCAACTATCACCCCTATTAACTGCACAGCTCACTTCCTCGTGCTAAGGAGAACACAGTGTGCATACAACTCCTGGCATTCTTAAGCACACTCTTTAGCAAGGAGCCCATCTGGATTCTGTGTCCTTCAGACGTTCATGCTCACTGTTGGCTCCATCTCACGGGTTGCACTTGCTCTATCAGAGGAAGGTGAGCCCACTGCTCCTCCCATACAATCCTCTTCCTGGAGTCCTGGGCATCCTGCTGCACTGGGGGGCGGGTAACAACAACTTCAGCTTCCCCCAGAACCCCCACCGCTCCTCCTGCTTCTACAGTCTGGGAATCCTGTCTCCCTCTCACTGAGAATAAACACCACGCTGAGCAGATTGGCATCCTCTCTGGGTAGTTATGGAATCAATACTAACCGTAAGAAGGCAGAATCTCTCTCGACCCTCACAGACCAGAACAGGATTGATGGGACAGAGAAGCAACAATAAGTCACAAAGACAGTTAGTTAATATTCCTGTACCTAATCTGATGGTCCGGTGGTTTAAGTTTACCTCTGCTTTTTTCATCCAACAAGCCAATCACTCACACACACACACACACACACACACACACACACACACACACACACACACACATCCTAATTCTTCATCCCAGCCTGACACAGTGGTTCTCAAATGGATATAGGTTTGTCTTCTGGTATCACATTTCTGGTTGTCACAGTTCAGGGAGTGCCAATGGTTCTGGTGGTCAGAAACCAAGGGTGCTGTAACTGACTGTGATATGTGGGACAGCTGGCCACCAGCAGAACTTTATCCTCTCAGCTCCTGGTTCTAGTGTCTAACCAGAGACCGATTTGTAGTTCTGATGGTGTCTGTATGTCATGGAAACAGCATCCCTGTCCTCAGGTCTTCATACTGTTTCTTTCTCTTGGGCCTGAATGTTAATTAGCATGTGCTCCCCGCCCCCATGGATGTAGGAAATGAGAAGGTCCCTCCTCTCTAGCTCTCTGCAGATCCCTGGCATAATTTCCTATTCATGCCTCTTGCTTTCCAGATGTGTGTTATCAGGGACTCTTGTTGCTATAGGAAATTCAGAGGTGAGTTGGAAGTTGATGATGCCTGGTTACCATGGCAATGCCAGCTGCTTCTGCCATCACAGCAAGGCAGAGTGGCCACTGAGAGGCTGTCAGAGACTCTCAGAACCATCCAAGCAAGACCCTCCCACTTCCTTTTAACACCAGCCTTCGTCCATTTCCCAGGGGTGCCTGTCTACAGCTGACCCCCTGACTCAGTTCATGCAGTCCCTCTGTGAGGAAATGGAGGCCTGCAGTTGCCTTGGAATGAGGTGGTAAAGTCCTACTGGGTGGCATTTATACTCATTAGTGAGTCAGCCCTTTCTCCAGCCTTTAGGACAATGCTGGCAGATAGCCTCATCCTGTGGGACAGTTGCCTTAGCTACTGTCAATGGAAATTACCCATTTTGGAAAGAGCTATTTTCAAGCCAACGTAGGAATATCTGCTTTAGCTCTTTTTCTGTTGCCAATGAAATATCCAAGACTGAGTAATCTTTGGAGAAAACAAGTCGATTTGGAGACTAGAAACTCCAGGGCTCGGGCATCGGATGAGGCTTCTTGCTGCATCTTAACAAGGGTGTGGTTCGAGCACACTAGCCCAGCTTCTTCTCTCTGATCAAGCTGCCCATGTCATCACAGGTCTCCCACCCCCTGACTTGAATCACACCCTCATGGCCTTACCTCCAAATTCATTCAACATGTGACCTTGAAAGTTAGGACTCTGATGTCTGAGATCCAGGGAGACAATGGAATCACAGCATGGCTCTCTCTGTGTGGATCATGGAGACCGATGACCCCCTGAGAAGGAGTACACAGGAGCAGCTGGAACAGCTCCCAAGCCTTTGTATCTCCTTGTGGGTCCTGAGCAGATGCCCAGTGAAGAGCTGTTAGTGACACCTGGACCTCTTCACTGGGTCTTCATCCTGGTCTTGTAACTAGGAGGCTATCACTAGCTTCCTGTCCCGGAGATGAAAACAGGCTCCTAAAGGCCAAAGAAAGTACCCAAGGTGGGGCTGCTGGCGTGGCAGAGGCAGAATTTGAATAGGAAGGTTGTGTTAATCAACTTAAAAGGTAGCAGGTGATAGATTCTGGTGGTGGAGGTTTAAGTCCCTGATCACCTTGCCCAGTGCTTTTGCAGAATATCAGGCTGGGCGCGTATGGTGAAAGGAGCTATCACTTCATGTCTGGAAGCCAAAAGAGAAAAACAGTGGAGTCTGCCCCCCCCCTCCTATGTAGCCTCTTTAAGAGCATGTCCCAATGATCTCGTTTCTTTCCATACCTCTTAAGACTCCACTAATCCTCAGGAATGGCACAGGCAGGTGAGCAATTCAGTATCTTTGTGGGGGCACTGAAAACCCAAACTGTAGCAGAGACCTCATTCTAGAACCTACAACCTCACACAGTTTGGGGGGCTGCTGCAAACAGGGCTACCATTCTCTATTAGCATGAGGAAACTGGGGCTCTCAGAGGTCAGGTCAGACACCCCAGATCATCTAAGTGGCGAATCCAGGGTTGAAAATACAGTTTGTTCCATTCCAAATCTCACTCACCTGTTTTGGACACAGCATGACTCTACCTGGTGGTGAGAAGCCACTGCACAAGCAAGAGGAGGACTCCTGCCAGGCTAGGAGACACAAACCTCTACAGGGCTCTCGCCCATGCCTCCATGTGAACACCAGGCCAGCCATGGCACCTGGAACTCATTCGAGTTCTCAGTGAGTGGAGACAATTAATGCTACCAGAGCCAGCAAGAGGGCTCCTTTACTGGCAGACACATTTATCCACATGGTAGTTCATGGAGGTTAGTCACAATTCTTTGGCACCCTTAAGTGTGTCCAAGCCAAGGTTGATGGAAAGCTTCCGATAGGGCCCCAGGCCCTGGTGAAAAGGCACAGATTTGGTGATCAAAATGGAGGAGGACATGTGGCAGGAGAGGACAGACAGAAGGAGGTGACCAGAGGCACCGCCTGGTGCAGGGGCCCCCTGGGTTGTACATTCCCCTAACAACTGAGAGAACAAGAAAAGGCAAAGAGAGAGATTCTTAAACCTCTGAGCCTTCTGATGCCACCCTGTGCTTTGACATTCAAAATGATGTCCCATCATTCTGCCACATGGACTGGGGTCCCTACTAGGTCCATATCCATGCAGCAACCTTCTCCCCACAGGTGTTTAGATTCCCCCAGGCTGAGTTTGAACTCAGGTGTTGTGAACAAAGAATCATTTGCTTCACTCCAGGAAGCCTCATTTTCTCCATGAATTGAACAGAGAACACCTTTCTCCCCAGGCTGCAGGGGTGGGGATGGGGGCGGGTGTTGCATGTGAGAGTAGGGATAAAGACCTGATTAGCCCTTGGCCTATGGCCAATACTCAGCATGGCTTTTTCCCATCTCCCCTGCCTGCCTCCAGAGTCAGTGTGCGTGTGGTCTCCAGACAGCAAGACGCTGAGCTAGTAGCCCCCACAGAGCCCTCCTGCAGGCCTCGACAGGCACAACTGCCCCTTTCTCCCATGTGGGCCCAGCCCACCCATACTTCTCATTATCAGCCGGCCTGTAATTAGATTGCTGCCTGGTCTTGGAGAGTGCCCATCAGCACCCAGCCTCTGCTCGCTGATGAGACCCCAGTCCTTCCAGTAAACTAATCAACAGTGGCTCTTCCCCACAGCCCTCTTAAGACTAAGAGGCATCACAGAGGTGGCTCCTGCCATACCAAGACTTCAGGCTTGACATGGAGGGGCAAAGGGAGATTCTAGAAAAGAATGCTGTCAGGGCTGTCCTCTCCAATGCTGCCAAGCCACCAGGGAGGAGTCGATAATACAGGTGTCAAACAATGTAGCACAGATCCAGGCTCTGCCTCTTGCTGTGTTGCCTTTGACAAATGACCTCCCTGTTCCAAGTCTCTTTCTGCAAAGTGGTAGAAGTGAACCTTACTCCAGATGCGTATGCAAATTAACTGGTAGCTGGGCATAGACACAGGAGTCACTGTCACCTGTGTGAAAGGCTTTGCTGTTTTCTTTCTCTTGGTTCTGTCCCTCACTTCCTCCAAGTCAGCCACACTCAGGTCTTGCATGATTTGCTTAGCAAAGTCCCATCAATTCTGCAAAGCTGGCTTAACCGTCACCTCTTCTGTGAAACTTCTGTCATTCCCCTAAAAATTAAGTTCTTTGTATTCTGTATTCCAACAGTAGTTTTACTGCACGATCACATTGTGCGTTACTATGGTAGCTGCTCCCCACTCCATCCTTTCTGCTCCCCATCCTCTTGCCCTCACCCCTTGGCCAGGCTTAGGAAACCAAGGGAGATTCGGCCTCTCTGTGTTCCTGGTGATTCTTGGAATAGTTTCTTCTGTAATTCTGAGCTGAATCAATGCCTGCCTGCAAGGGACAAATGAACAGGTGAACAGAAAAGTACAGAGATTAAATATTAAAGGAAGAATGCAGGTCCAAGGAAACCTTGTTCTCTGTCTATATATGCTTTCTTTGATTTGGGCTGGATTTAAGACTCCGGACTAGAAGGAAGGAAGTGTTCAGCCTACAGAGGCCACCTAGGGAACTGGAGCCGCAGGGGATTGACTGCGTAACTTCAGGTTTGTTTTCTTAATTCTCTCTGCCCTGGCTCAGGAACTGTAATAAAGCCTCAGGGCTGAGAGCAGAAGCCCAACAGAGGCACACCATGGCTGGGTACTCTTAAGAAGGAGTCCTTGACCTAGGCTCTCAGGGGCTGGTGGCCCATGCACACCCTTCCCCAGAGATGGGACAGGACATTGACTTTAACCAAAGTGATTCCAGCTGCAGACATGCCCTTGAGAGGCCCCAGGGCAAGAACAAAGGTGAGGCCGCTAAATGAACTATCACACCTGCCATTAGAGATATGGTGTGCAAATTAAGAGATGGCCACAAGCCTGTCCCCTGGAGCAGCTTGTATCCTGGTGTGCAGAGCCCCTGTACACCTCCAGCAGTGCTCCCGTCCTCCTGGGCCCTGCAGGCTGCGCACCTGATGAGCACCTGCTTGGCCACCTCTCCAACCAGCTCATCCCTCTGGCTTCTCCAGCCTCTGACCCTCCACCTGATCTTTCTGTCTTCATGGTGCACTCCCAGCCACACCAGCACATTCACGTCTGCCTCCTTCTTCACTGAGACCCTCAGCACAAGGAGGCTAGGTCAGGGTCAGGTCAGGTCTTGGCACAGAGGGCGGTGAAGAGTGTGTCACGGGGTGAGTGAAGGTTTGCTAAGAGGACAAGTAAGTAGATGAATGGATACACAGATGAGCGGCCCCGCACTGAGCTCGAACAAGAATGGGACTCCGTGTCTGATGTGCAGCCAACAGCCCAGGGGGTTCCTCGATGTTACTTGAAACAACAGCCCCTGAGCTGACATCCTGATGCCCCTGCATGGGCTCTGGAGGGTACATTCTTCACAGGTCTGGGCACAGAACGTGTGCCCACAGTGGGTACTATCATAAAGTACAGATGCTCCCTTGACTTGCCACGGAGTTATGCCTTCATACATGCATCACAAGAAGAAAATAAGCTGGAAACACACTTAATCTATTGAACCTTCCAAGCCTGGCTCAGCGACACAGCCTTCTGACGTGAGACTGACCTGGAGCTGGGTCTGCCCAGCATCTCAAAGGAGGATTGTACGCTTACCACTGGGTGGGGGGAAGATTCAGATTCCAAACACAAAAGCACCTTTCTTCTGAATGCACATGGCTTCCATGCCACCGTGGCACCTGGCAGTCACCAACCTCACTATCCTGAGACGGAGAGGGTGTCTAGTTAAAGCAGGCTTGAATCTCAGCCGTGGCACTCTCTCGCTCTGAAAGACTCAGGCTGTGTGCCTTACTCTTTCTGAGCCCTCCTCTCTGTAAGCGCACTAGAGCCAGTCGTGGTGGCTCCTCTACAGAGTATGGTAAAGACAGAGCTGGTGTGAGGTGCCCAGGAAGTACTAAGTACACACACATCATCCACAGTATATGATCTCAGCCCTGCTGAGGACTGACCCACACTGGCAGGAACAAGTTTATGTAAGAGTCAATGCCACCTCAAGCCTCCCTCCCACACTGTTTGGCCCGTGTCACCCTCAGCCAAGACTCTGAAGTCTGAGACTCCCCCCAGCCCCTTCTTTTTCTGCTACTCCACTGCCTTTCCTTGACCTCCAGTGATGGCTGTGAGATGTTGGGTGGAGAAGAGGGAGTCCCTCGGGTCAGGGCTTCCTTCAGCCAGCTCTGTCCAGTTCTAACTGGGGAAGCAGGAGATGAACAAGCTCCCTGTGTTCCCCACACAGCAGCAGATTGGCAGCCACAGAACCTGCAAGGGCCATTTCAGGTTTCTTTCCTTTGAAAACACGGGAGCAGGCCCAGCCTGGGAAGCAGAGCTGAGCACCGCTCCTGGTGGCCTGTCTTCTGTAACTGCAGTTCTAAAGCAGGGCATGGGGGGTGCTGAGTCCCCAGGCTACAACCCCAGCTTAAGAGCCTTTAGGGGGCTGGAGCCGTGCTGTAGCCCATTTTGGTCACACAAATCTACACATTTAAATTTTGGAATCAGTCCCTGGAGTCTGATAGAGTCATTTGGGTTTGATGGCACTGGGAAGTATTAAAGCTCCCCAAATAATTCTGTCATTCAGTCACATGAGTCAAACACTGACACCAGTGGATTTAAATCTGTGCGTCTAGCCATATGAACACATTGGGAGGATGGGTAATAAAGCTGGAGAAGTGACCAGGTCCCCAGGCTGAGCCCTGAGTCCTCTGATGTGCAGAACTGGACTGAGAAGTCAGGGAAGAGGGGATCCAGTCCTGGGTGTAAGGGTTGGAAGGGCCCTTGCTTCAGCTGACACTAGCTGCAGCTGCTCAGAAGGCTTTCTCAGGGTGGGGAGGGAGGACAAGCAGATGGAAGACCAGGATGGGTTCCTGAGTTGGCCCCTTCTGCACAGAGGAAGCAGAACAGCCCCCCCC